CAAAACATAATTTGGTCAACCAATTTTACAAAGGATTAAACCATTATTTAAACAAACTAATCACTTAAAAACTGAAATAAAGTAACGCGTTAGTCCTCCTCCATTTGGGTCATCATGTAATTCACATTTTTGGTTTTTTCTCCTTAAAATTTGGTTGAAGAGTTTCCTTTGTTTTCCTTACTCTAGTCCTTGTTATAGGTCCTCCAAATCCTTTAAGTGGATCTTTATTCTTGCTCATGGTCGTGTCCCCATCAATTTCCCAAATGTTTGTAGTCGTCAATGCAAACAAATCCATGTCTCAAGAAATGACCCTCATGATAAGTGTATTTTTCAGTGTGGATAATGTTAAGCCTACCCTCATATTTTGCTTGTATTTTCCTAATTGGTAAGTGATTGTTTCTTCATTAGGATCCACCCTTATATCATCATCAACCTGTGGGTTCTGATCCAACATGACAGTTGCATTACTTCCTTCGAGGAGCATGTTAATTAGGACTATCATGGTTATCCTCAAACTTCTCACATAACATTCTCTTATCATCTTTTGGTTACCAAGGACCGTCATTATAACTCCTGACATAGAAGGAAACTTTATTACTAAAGGAGTTGAAACTATTTTTTCTAGAGTATTCAATGATGGTCTATCGAAAAGGCTGTTGTAAGATGTGTTAGCGTCAACTATAAGATATCATACCTTAATGATTTAGTAATTTCCACTACCTTTCCTAAATTTGAAGTATATGTCAATGTATCATTGTGTCCATCTTTTTCCTTGAAAAGACAACAATTTGATTATTTTAGGGTTGAATGAATTATTCCAACAACTAAAGGCATACCCATAATTCTGATGGTAACTATAATGTTTATTGTGATAAGTGTTAAGAGGTGTGAGAACCTTTTGAGGTGTCAGAATGAGATTAGTGCTTAGAGCTTCTTTCAATATTATTAGTATTGAGTGTCATATGCTGAGTGAAATAAGGTCCTCTTGTTAGATTTGTTCTGAAACTACACCTTTTATTCTTTGTCCTTTTGAAATTATTTTTGTTTCAGGATTATTTTAGCCTTTGATTGGCTGTAAAACTCCTTTAATTCTTACAACAACATGAATTTCACTACTGATTTCCTTAGCTCATCTAGGTCTTTGGATGACTTCTACATAGATTGTTGACAAATAATTTGGGTTTTAATGTTATTATCATGTGATGTAAAACTACCTTAGAGTTGAGAGTCCTAATATTTAATGTCACTTTGTTGATTCTCTTCGTAAACATTTGTAGGGATTCACCCTATCTTGCTTATGTTTACTATAACAATGTCAAATGATGTGACCGACTAGTGACAAATTGTGCTCCAAATTTAGTCACCAATATATCAAAGCAATCAATAAAACATATGGAAGACAATTAAACCAACTTAATATTGCTCCTTTGAAAGGCGTGAGAAATATTCTACAAAAGAGTGCATCTTATATCCAAAGAAGTTTCGATAGATGTATGAAAATATTTTTCCATTCTTGGGTCATTAAGAACCTCTTGACATTTGACACACGTGGATCTCTTTCGTTATTCATCATATTTCTCATTGGAACGTATTACTCGATCCTATAATAAGCGTCAAAATATTTTTACAAATCAATAAGTTCTTCTATAATTTGGTAGTAACGAATGTCTCGTCTTCATTGTCTTGGACATGGACTTCTCATGCCTAAATGAATTGATAACAAAAACATTCCACTAGTGATTAACTCTATTTAATGATTAAAATTGACTCTTATCTTATATATCTCTTAGCAAAATTCTAATTCATCTCCTAACTTTATTTTTATTTCAATTATAACTTTGATTATTTAAGATGATACATCACAATTTCAATTTTATTCATAATTATAATGATAAAAATATAAGACACATGTATATATGCTGTATTCCACAAATAACTTTTTTAACAGAGGTCTAACTTAGTTTAATATGTGATAAATTTCGTTTATTTTTTTGTTTTTAATAAACGATGGATTCTTTTATTAGATATCATGACATGGTAAAACAGCTAAAAATCACAAAAGTTTAGCGTTAGAAGTTGATAAGGCTAAATTTTGTTTAAATTAAAAATATTCAATAATTTATTTAAAAATATATAATTAAAGCATTTCATGGACAAAAATTGGTTTACTTATAAAAATTACTTAAGATTAATTAATATTTAAAGAATCATCCTTAAATAATAAAACTATAAGAGGATATATTTAAGATAAAAAAAGTATAGTTTTGATAATATTTTTGAATTTAAAATGTTATATTTTCTTCTTAAATTACTCCATTTCATAAATTTAATGATGGACCAGGAGTTTTACAAATATTAAAAATAGATATTTCAAATTAATGATGTTATAATCGAGTAGAATTCAATCAAAATAATTATTGTAATTATAATTTTAAAATTTTGATTAAAAAAATCTTAAAATAAGATAAAAAAATGACAATTGTTAACAGTACAAATATTTCTTTTTTTCATTAATATTATTAATGCATTAATAAAGTTTTGTCAAAAAGAAAATTTATATATATTATTCATATATATATATATATATATATATATATATATATATATTATTTAAACAATACATATGAGATGATAATGTCTAACCATTTCACTAATTATAAAATTATATTAAAAATAGATTTTTAAAAATTAATACATTAATTTAATATTAAGTAATTATTTAAAAAAAATTATATTTAATATGTATTTATAAACATAAAATTATAAGACTGAAAAAAATTAGTATATATTTAAATAGGATTTAAGTAATTTAGTATAATAATAACTAATACAAATATTAAAACAATAGTAATGTTTATTTATTTATTTTTTGAATTATTATCCTTGTTTTTTTTAGAGTTTAATTAATAGAATATATGTTCCTATATCTATTTATTCATTAAAACGAGTACATTGGCTGACTTGACAATCTTCACACTCCTTTGTTGATTTATAAACTGTAAAGGATAAACCTATATGATTAGATCAATTGAATGATTAAATCAAACAAATTAAAATATTTTTTTATTATTTTATATTCATTAACCTTATTACAATAATTTTATGATCTTTCGTAACAGTATTAAAAAGAAGATTTATTTTGTTTAATTTCAATGTTTTTCTCTGAAAGAAGATGCTCAATTACAAAAATAAGAAACTAAAATAGTTGGATAAAATTAAATATTTCTAATTGTTTTTTATTGCAAAAAAAGAAAGATAAGATGGACTATAATATAATGAAATCTTACCTCACATACCAAATCCCTCTCCAGTTTCACACCAATAAATACCTGATAATATAAAAATATTTTTTTTTAAATAAGACTTATTTTAACTTTTTTATAATAATATTTAATTTTTTATATTCAACCCTACTGATAAAAAAACTTAAATTTTTTCATAATAGTATTTAATTTTTTATATTCAACTCTCCTGATAAAAAAACTTACAACAAAAAAAATAAGTATATATTATATACATCAACCATAGGAGTAGGTCAATCAAATTTGATATCTAATCTAAGTAAAATAGTTTAGATTGGGTTAGAGCTGGTTAGATGAGTAGGGTAAAAGAGTTTTTACGTGTCACATCAAAGTTTAGCATTTAGTTTTTAGTATTTATTTATATTTATTTTGTGTTAGGTTTATTTATATATATATATATATATATATATATATATATATATATATATATATATATATATATTATTTACAATCAAACTTGTTAAGAACCCAAAACAAATATTATACTTCACCTTTGATGGCTTTGAATGAGTAGAAATACAGCCTTCAATGTCAAAATCAAACACTTCAGTATCTAGAAAGTTGTCAATGCCATAAACATTATCCATACAACATACTATGATTGTTAAGGTTTCTTTGCTGTTAAATAAAGAGGGACACAATATCTTATTGGAAATTGAACTATATGATCCATCTACATAAATAAAAAAAATGAAAAAAATATCTTGTAATGTATTAGTTGAGAGAAAATCTTAAATAAAAATGACAAAAAATTATAAAATGAAAATTTTAAAAATAATACCAAACATAATCATTTTCATCACAGAAAACATAAAACTGACCAGTTAACTGTGTCATTGAAGGTGAGTTGGCAGGATAGAAACACTTAATCATATGCTGGGATGACCAATACAAATCAACAGTTGATAACCATGATTCTTCGTCAAAATTCACTTTTATCAATAACGTCTGTTCATGGTCTATATGCTGCTCATCACGTGGTTGAATGACTCTTTTCTTGCTATTTGTCAAAGAAAGATTAAATGCTGATCCGAATATTTTACATTGATCCATTAGATATTGAATTTTTAACTCTGCCTGCTTCTGTAATTAGGTAGAAAATAAATATAAAAGATTTATTGTAATCTTACTGTATTCACTTATCTTCTGAATAATGTTCTAGTAATTACTTCATAAGTTACAATATCCACTTCAATGATTGATTGGGAGAGACAAAAATGGATACCATTTATGAATTGAAACCAAAATTTTGTGAAGAAGTGGTTGAACAAGAAGGGAAAGATTAGAATCAAACTGACTTATTCGATAAGAAGTGAGAGGAGTAAAACCATTTCTGCATATTTGAGAATTTCAGACAAAAACAGAAGTTTGAAGTGGGATAAAAATTTCAGATGAATTCTAAAATTTAGTAAACTCCCATATATGTCTGACTTACGTGTACCAAATATGCATTTTTATACGTTTAAGCGTTATATTAATAATCAAATAAAAAAACTATATGATAAAATTAAACTAACTTCAATAATATAATAGAAAAAAAAAAAAGAGTAGAAGAGAGGAATACCAGCTTCTCTTCTATGTAACAATTCTTTTGTAGTTGTATTTGCTTGAAAGCTATGAGTTCTTCAATTTCTTGCATCGACTGTAGATGTATGAAAGATAGATGATAGCATTAAACACATGATTTCTAAATCAATTTTAACTAAAATTAAAATTAAAGAATATATCAGTCTCCTTCACCTTGTAAATAGAGTATTTGTGCTCATATGGCGGATTACAAGTTTCTTTCTTGTAGTTAACCATGTCATTCTCGTTATCATTTATATCATTTTGCCCTGTGCATGCATCATTTTCATATGGACTGTCATCTACATGGTCCGACATAGGGAGATCTTGATTTCCATGGCCAAGAGTCAATTCCTTTAATTTCATATACACAAGTTTTATCTCATTCTCATTGTTAGCAGTGTCATTTATATTATCCCCTCTTTCCGCAGTACACATGTTCTCATTGGGACTGTCATCTACCTGATCTATGGAGAGGTAATGACTTTCATGGTCAAGAGTCAATTTCTTCAGTTTTTCACACACAATGTTCCTCTCATTTTCATTCGTCACTTCTGCTACTGATGGCATGATGTCTACATCTAAAGAATTAATTGCAGTAATTTCAGTGGAACATGTTTTCTTAAGTTGTCTCTTTGACTTAGGTGTTTCAAATGCTTCATCATCTTCTTTCAGAGTTGATGGAGGAGATGGAGATATAGTTTTCCATTTCAAATTACAGCCAGAGGCAACTGCTAATGAAGCTAGTAACGAGGTAAGTTTGTTGACTTGTCTATGGTCTAATTCAAACCAGAAATGGTTATGGGTGTAATAATTGTCAACAATTACTCTTGCAAATTTATCTTCAGAAAGTGGCTGACACAAAAGCCGGATCCGAACCTTCACCTTAAATAATTAATAGCAGATAATGTAAGGGCCTTCTTGATGAATAGATGACCAGTATGATTAAGAGAATATGAGTTTGATTGGTAGATGTAGCAAGTTATAGTACCTGTGCAGGATATTGTGTTCTATCCAATTCTGAATTTTCATCAATCCATGCATAAGGATCTATGTACAGTTTTCCCTTGCTAGATGCCTCAAATATTCCATGGAGTTTCCTGTCACTGTAGTTGAATAAGAAAATAGGCAGACCAGGATCAATGTTCTTCACATAGGAAAAGTGGTTAACGGGTAAACCTGTTAAAACAAACACATAGTAGTGAGTTAATGGTCACATAACCCTGCCTTCAAAAGGAGGGATTTAAAACAAATTATTTCATAATTCTATCATATTATTTATGTAACTTCTAACATTCAACAGGTCTTTAACCCATCTAAATTTTTAATATAAACTATCATTGATTCATTTATCTCTAGACTCACATCAATGACTGTCAAAATCTTATCATTACTACAACAAAAGCTATCAAATGCAGAAGAGGGAAAGACTAACCAAATAGAAGTTTTGATTGGCACTCTTTTAATGTGTTGTTCTTGCAACCGAATATGACCCCACCAAGCTGATACTTCTCCAAATTTCTACCACCTATGGAATTGACCACTGAATTTGGGGAAAAAGGCACAGTCCCGCTGATTCTAAAAGACTGTGTTCTTCTCGTTGCCTTCATCATGGCGCAAGAGGACAAGGCCTATTTCATTGACAATCTATGGTAAAATCTAGACCATGAAGAAATGTAAATAATTAATATATTGGCAGTATCAAATGAATCAAAACTTCAAGCTAAATAAATACAGATTTCTTTCATTGTTATTAACAAGAAGACAACTTTACAAATTTCAGTAAAAGGATGACCATAATAAAGATAATAGAAGTTCATGCGCAAAGAATTGATCATTGGACTAAAACATTTAATTGAGCATAAATTAATGCTGACATCACACTAGTCCTAAAGGATTACCATTAATATGAGGAAGCTAGAAACTTGACAACATAAATTCATAATCCTATCCTCATCACTCTCCCATCCAACCCCTGTGCCAACAAACATCACAGAAATCCTTACAAGCACCAATTCAGACCATGCAACACTATTCAATCCATTACACGATCAGATAACAAAATATAAACGAAGAAAGAAAGAAAGAAGAAGCACGTGGAAAAAGTCTCTTCATATTTTATAGCATTTCAAACAAAAAGGATGATGGGGGAAGAAACCAAAGGATTTGAGTAAAAGAGTGATACTTGAAAGTGAGACACAGAAGGCCTAACAGAGAGAAACCAACACAAGAAAACAAATGTGAGGAAATAATGCTCTTCAGAATGATGATTAAGACTTGAGAGTTTAACAATTAAACAAACAGCTAAGACAATGTTAGATACTCCATATTGTAAAAACACTGAATAACTACACAAGAATCTACCTATTTTCTTCTTTAATCTGCATGCAAAGTCATTCTGTAATCAAGGAAGAATGCAGTAGGATACCTTGTTTCGTCCTAAAACATTACTTCATGGATGATGAGTATGATAAGAAAATGTGTGCCTCGTGATGTAAAAATAAGAAAAGCATGGTATATCACATTACTGATTCACTATTAGCAATTTAACAATAAAATATAAGTTGAACACAAATTACATGTTATTTATGTCCGACATGGATTTGGCATTTGTTTGTAAAATGGATTTGAAATGTGTTGAAACCAACACAAATTGTTTCTCAATTAACATGTTGTTTGCATTTATCATGAATGACTTTTTCTTAAGAATAAATAATGAATAAAATATTAGACATCAATTTGATTAATTTATATAAAAAAATAAAAAAAATCAAGGAGTTCTTTTTTTGTTAAAATTAAAATATTTGTTGCAAAATTTAATTAATTAAAATAAATATTTAAACATGATTAAATATTCTTGTAATTTATAAACGTGACTAAATTTGATTTTAATGTTATTAGATACGTCTTATTCTTTAATGTAGTAAAGAATTGGAGGAAAAAAAGTTATTAATTAATCAATTCTGTAATATTATTAATTAAGTGATATTATGATGGGGGTATATTCATTAAATTAATCGTTTAAATAATCTAGTTTTCAATTTTATGTATTAAAACATACAAATGTGTATGTTGATTTTTTATTTTTCATTAATTTTATAGAACCTCTTTTAGCTTTTCTTCTTATGAAACTTCATTGCATAACTTCTCCTAAATGTGACAAAATATTGACTCTTCATTGATCATATTTGGTCTATTCTAATAGAAATATTATCATGTTATGATTACCTTTTTCTTACTCTATTTTGTTTAATGTTTTCGGTATTGTTTACGAGCAACCACCAGTGCAATGGTCATCTTCATGCACGAAATTTCTGGTATTTAATTAACATTGTCTTTGAATTTGATTTTTCAATTATTAAATTAACAGGTGTACGTTTCATGTTCTTGTCTTTTTATCATGTGGAATATTCGTAATTAAAATTTAATGTTGTGCCATGACTAGTTATTATAAATATATATTTATTTCTAAATAAAGGGTCTTAGGTCTTAGCTAATTTTCAAACAAAAAAAGCATCTTCTAGAAGTTTACTTTTCCAATTCAAATGGAGAAAGTTTAGTCTAGAAATGGTGAAAAAAATTGAATTAAATATGAACACTTCTATTAGCGTAGATTTGAATGACGGTTCAGTAAAAAATTGAATTATGGTTCGACCCTTGATGAAAATTTCGAGCATGAACTAACTCTTGTTTGTTCAAACATTCTCTCACGTGTTATTTTCAACCTAATTTTCATTATTAAGTGATTCTCATGTTCATTAAATCAAAGTAATGAATGAGTCAACACAACTTTGGCGGAAATCTTTTTCTAGTATTAAAAATTTGTCAAAGACTTGCCCGCGTATAGATAAAATATTATTTGCTTAATAATTAGAAAGTTTTTTTGTCTTAAATTTAAATAAAAATTTGGAGCTATTTATCATCAATAAAAAAAACTATTTTATTAAATATGAATAAAAATTTTAAATGTTGCAATTAACCAATTAAATTAAAACACGTCATCCTGATGTGTTAAAAACTCGATTTTTTAAGCAAATTGATATATACTTGTTTCTGGTGGAATTTCGATCGATTTCGATTCTAAGGGTGTTTTGGTCCTAATCAAAATTCTACCACGTAAGTTCTTTTACTTAGGCTAGCAATTTGATTTTCAATCGAAAACGCGTATGAGAATTGAAAACTACAGGATATCGAAAATGTGGTTTTTGGTATTTTATGTCTAAAATGCTTGACTCAAACAAAACAAGAAAGTATCGAATCGAGCAAAGAGAATATTAAATTGCAAGAAAGTGCGAAAACCCCGAATTTGCAAGAAATTAAGTTTGCGAGATAAATAAAGGACAGAAATCGAAATGTGCGGAAATGTAAATTGCTAAAACCCATTAAAATTGCACGTAAAGTAAATAACAGAAATCGAAATGTGCTGAAAATGTAAATTGCTAAAACCCATTAAAATTGCATGTAAAGTAAATAATAGGAAATCGAAATGTGCGAAAATGTAAATTGCTAAAACCCATTAAAATTGCACGTAAAGTAAATAACAGAAATCGAAATGACATTGAATGTAATCTACAAGAATATGAAATTGCCGAATTGAAATGGCTCGAAAGTAAATTACCAAGGAAAATATAGAAAGCGATAAATGTACTCGATGAGCAAGGAAATCCAGATCGCCGTAAACTTCATGGTGTTCGTCGCTTCTCCCGTAGACTTTTCACTACCGATTCTCGTTCTCCGCCAATTTCCCCCGTTCCTTCCTTCTTTGCTCTATTTATGTGGCATCTTTCAAGCCTTCCAAGAACAGCTAACACGATCGTTACCACGTTCTACGTGCGTATGGCGCTTTTTCTTCTATTGTTTCCCCACGTTCCCATGATTTTTGGCTCTTCCATAACTTAGAAACCGCTTTCCATGCGTGCGTTTTGACTATTTTCCTTCAAGGTTTAACCGAGGTTATGATATCTACGAAAACGAGCCTTCCCTTTGATTTAATCGAGAACTTTGCATCCTTGGTATCGATTTATTTTAACTTTAACTCCATGTTAAGCTTTCGACTATTACACCTTCTCTTCCGATTTTACCTTTCGATTTTATGTGTCACGTTCTTTATAATCTGACATCGTGAAAGTTCCCTTTCGATTCATTTCTCGATCAGCTTTCGATTCCACACTAACAAAATGCCCCCTTGGAAGAATATGAATAGTTTATTTATATTCTTTCAACATTTCCCGCCTAAGTGTTCTGAGGCCCATAGAACTTTGTGGTTTAGTGGTTTCGGGGTTCTAGTGGTTAAAAGGGTTTTAGGTTTCCTTTCCGTTTTACGTCGCTATCATATCACCGTTGCTTTTACAAGACATTATATTCATTACTTTTCGTATCTGGCTGCTCCAGCCTCCCTAGGAGATTTTCTCTTTTAACCTTTCTCTTGGTCTTTGTTCTGTTTTTATGCGAACTTTTACCCTAAGTCCGTACTTTCATCGTCTTCCTCGAGCTCTTGCTTTCATCTCTATACCTTCATCTTTTCCGTTGCTTTTCTTCATCCTACTCACTACCGAAATGGCCACTTCCTCCAAGTCTTCCGACTTTTCCGTTCCACCTCTTTCCTCGATGCCTTCTAACCCGCCGGAAATTAACAACCGTAAGTTCGCTCCAGCTCCTTCGATGGAGGAGGCTTCCCGAAAATTGCCGAAACGCAGTACTAATCCCTTACACCGTTGATGGGGTTAATTTTGCTTTTGGGGTCCACTCCGTCCTATCGATGACATTTTTACTCCTCTTAACCTCTCGACTAGTCCGCTTTGGTTCATCAACCCGAGTTAGGGTTGATTTTCTCGAATCTTACTTCTAAAGTGTATAGAACGGGCCCTCCTTCCAAAAAGCCTCCGTATATTCGATGGTTTGATAGTGGTCAAGGCTAAGTTTGGGGATCACCGGAGGAGTACCGGTATTTTCGATTTTTTGCACCCGTCCCGATGTGACCCGTCTCATTTGGACATGGCGATGTTCTTATCTCGCAAGGCATTTATGGAATCAAGACTTACATGTTTTGGAGTTGCCTCGTGGCCCCGTGTCGCCCACCCTTTTCGAGATAGCCGCTATTATCGGGTTGAAACCCATAGGGGAGAGGTATTTTCCGGTGCATATCCCTCGATAATTCATCGAGGTCGAAAATTGATTGGGAGTCGAAGGCCTATGGGCATTTTCTCGAGAAACACTTTGCCGATGACCCTCGATAGCAAGCTATCGACGAAGAACACGTAGCATTTTTGGTGTATTGGTTATGTACTCATGTTTTTTGCCCCCGTTCAATCCAAATTTCCCCCATTTGTTCAATCTTGCATATCTCCTTCACCTAGGCCACCCTAGACTTTGTTTAGCCAAAACTTTATTAAGACATGTATATACCGCTTTCGACGTAAGCCGTCGATATTTTGAGTACCCCTAAGGCATCTGGGAATTTTTCTCGGCCCCGTTTGGTTTATTCAATTATGGTTAATTTCGATATTTGAAAGTATCCTTCCTCGTATTTCTACCGTTCCCCCAAGTATAAATATAGAAGGGGCCCGATTATCCTCCCGCCATCCTCGCCAAAAGACCGATGAGGCTACCTATT